CAAGCAACCAACCCCAATTCAGAAGGCTTGTATCCCGGTGGGTCTTCTGGGGAAGGATATTTGTGCCTGTGCTGCCACCGGGACAGGTAGGGGGTTGAGCAGGGCACAGGAAACAGGGAGCGTTAGCTATTCACAGTAATTGGTAATTCTTGGTAATTCTTCTTAATTTTCTTCTTTAGGTAAAACAGCTGCCTTCATCTTGCCTGTCCTTGAGCGCCTGATTTACAAACCTCGTCAGGCTCCAATAACACGGGTATTGGTTCTAGTGCCAACACGAGAACTGGGTATTCAGGTGCACTCTGTCACAAAACAGCTGGCGCAGTTCAGCAGTGTCACAACTTGCCTTGCTGTAGGTGAGTATTAAGTTGCTTACGCGAACTGTACAGCTTGCTGTAAACTGCTATACAGAGCTGGGAATTCTGTGTTATAAAACTGGAGGCTGTACGGTTATTGCAGGCATGCTTCTAGTAGGTGTGCTGTGGTTTAAAATCTCACTTCCCCATACCGCGCCGTACTTTTTGTTTGTTGGTTTCTGAGAAAGAAAAGGTGGGGTCACTTCTAATTGTGAATGTGGTATTAATCTGAGTTGTTTCCCATTCCTCAGGCAATTTGGATCTGTGTACTCTGCTGCAACCTGCTGAGGGAGTCAGCAGTCCATGTTCGCTCTCTTTCAGGTGGCCTAGATGTAAAGACTCAGGAAGCAGCTCTGCGCTCTGGGCCAGACATTCTTATCGCCACTCCTGGGCGACTGATTGATCATCTCCACAACTGCCCTTCTTTCCACCTGAGCAGTGTTGAGGTGCTGATTTTGGATGAAGCGGACAGGTAGGCTAAGAGGACAGCAGTGAAAAATGAGATGGTAGTTTTCTGCTTTCCCTTTCCCAGGCTATAGGGCAGTCTCTGTTGCCCTGCCTTAAGTAATGTTTCTTAGCTAGAACCAGATGAAGCTGCCTTACCTTGCTGTTTTTCTCCTGTGTAGGATGCTGGATGAATACTTTGAGGAACAGATGAAGGAAATAATCAGGTTGTGCTCCAACCACCATCAGACAATGCTTTTCTCTGCCACAATGACAGAGGAGGTAAGACAGGCTGCTGAGAAGCATACTGAGGCAGAAAGTTGAGTAGAAGTTTGTGTAGTCTTTTACCAGAGATTATGTGGACTTTTTTTTTTCTTAACCTGTTTTGGTAGGTGAAAGATTTGGCCTCTGTTTCCCTGAAAAATCCCATCCGAATTTTTGTGAACAGCAACACAGATGTTGCCCCTTTCCTGCGGCAGGAATTTATCCGGATCAGACCCAACCGAGAGGGGGACCGTGAGGCCATTGTATCAGGTTAGTGATGAGCAAAGAAAAGCTGGAGTGGGTAGGTGGCTATGAAGCAGGCTACTGAGAGGACTTTCTTTCAGCTCTACTGACACGAACCTTCCCGGATCATGTGATGCTTTTCACCCAGACCAAGAAGCAAGCTCACCGTATGCACATCCTACTTGGGCTGATGGGTCTACGGGTTGGCGAGCTTCATGGGAACCTCTCTCAGGCACAGCGGCTGGAAGCACTCAGGTACTAGCAGGCTTAGTTGGCAATCATAGGCAAAAAAGAAGTTAGGAGTTGGAAATTTTAGGGCAGAAGTGGATTGCTGTATTCATTGCTAACGCATTTGCCATCTCTGCTCAGGCGCTTTAAGGATGAGCAGATTGATATTCTGGTAGCTACAGATGTGGCTGCACGAGGACTTGATATTGAAGGTGTTAAAACAGTGAGTATTTGCAGTGCTGAGCTTGTTGAGTCCTTTAATGTTGTTTCCCTACTAACACTGTTTGTGTTATAGGTAATCAATTTTACCATGCCCAACACCACCAAACACTATGTTCATCGAGTGGGTCGGACAGCAAGAGCAGGCAGGGCTGGTCGTTCAGTTTCACTTGTGGGAGAGGAAGAGCGCAAGATGCTGAAGGATATTGTGAAGACTGCCAAAACACCAGTGAAAGCCAGAATTCTCCCCCAAGGTACGTACTTCACTGAGGTAAAAAGCAGGAGAGCGGTAGGCAGGGAGTATCATGGTACAGAGGGACACTAAAAGAGGTGCTGAAAAACAAGATGGACCTTACGTGAGCTGCTTCTGATGTTCACACTGTGTCGTTTTCAGACGTCATACTAAAATTTCGAGAGAAGATTGAGAATCTAGAGAAAGATGTGTATGCAGTTCTGTGCTTGGAGCGTGAGGAGCGTGAGATGCAGCAGTCAGAGGCCCAGGTAAGGTTTTTTGTTTTAGGAATTTTTTTTTTACCTTAATTTTTTTAGGATCTGGAATAGATACAGTGCAGAAGGAGGTTACCCTAATGAACTTAACCTGCCTACGATAGAAAGGAGAGAGAGAGAGATTTTTTCATCCACCATGAGCTCACTTCTTGCCTGAATTATCTCAGATCAATAGGGCAAAGAAGCAGCTGGAGACAGGAAAACAAGAATCTGTGGGTGAGGGTTTGGAGCGGAGCTGGTTCCAGACCCGTGAGGAGAGGAAGAAAGAGAAATGTGAGTCATGACACTGCTGCCATGTTAAATTCCATAGCTGCAACTGGACTCTGCTCTGTACTTTAAGAGGTTCTTTATTCTGTGCTGTTCTTTGTCTCTCCAGTGGCTAAAGCCCTGCAGGAGTTTGATCTAGCATTACGAGGCAAAAAGAAAAGGAAGAAATTTATGCAGGACAGACAGAAAAAAGTCCAAATGACAGTGAGTACATTTATGGACAAGTGGGACTCTGGGTGGACTATTTCCCTTTGCAAAACCTCACATCACTGTAAACTTGCATTTTAACACCTTTCAGCCAGAGGAGAGATCACAGTTTGAAATCTTGAAATCTCAAATGTATGCTGAGCGGCTGGCAAAAAGGAATCGCCGAGCAAAGCGAGCCAGAGTCTTGCCAGAAGAGAAACCAGCAGCAATACCAGCAGGTGGAGACTTTTTACAGCTGACTTACCTTGTGTCAGTTACTTTGTTACAAATAGATAAATGGAACTAATTTGTAGGGGGAGGCACTGATCTTTCAAGGAATGGTCACTGGTGCTGGCTAGGGTGCGTGTTTGTAGAGTGGAGTCACTGCTTTTTCTGATGGTTAGGCTAATTGTTGTGGTCAAGGCTACTGGGCTCTAGCAAACAAGACAATGCTGCGGCCTCCTCTTTACAGCCAATGTTCTGACTATTTTCTCTGTGTTAGGCCCCAAGCGGAAGAAAAAACTGTCTGTGTTTGATGAAGAGCTTACCAACACAAGCAGGAAGGCTCTGAAGCAGTACCGTGCCGGGTAATGTCTTAGCAGTAGTTCATTAGTCCAGCCTTTAGTAGGTGGGATTTCTTTTGCATATCTGAACTTTATCAGGGATACTTTGACTGATATTGGGGGAAAAGGTGGGCAGAGCAGAGAAGGGATTCTTGCAAGAAGTACCTGTGCTATTGACGTACTTCAGTGGTTTCTGTCTTACCTCCCGCCCCTCCCTTCTCTCTTAAAAAGCCCATCATTTGAAGATCGAAAACACTTGGGTATGGCCCAACATAAGAAAGGAGGAAGCTTCAAATCCAAGTCCAGGTATAGCTCCCTTTACTTTCTTATTCAAGTTTTTTTTTTTTCTGCTTTCTCTTTCCTCCTCTTGTGATTGTTTAAAGGGCCTCGCTAAAAGGTTTGTTGGTTCTGCAGGTCTGATGCTGGGGGCAATCAAGGATACTACCTTTAATAGCACATTCCTACTTGGGAGAGCATTGCCTAGAAAATGCTCAGGGCTGTTCCTTATCTGTTGTTGAGAGTTGGGCTGGTGGAATGTCATTTCAAATATCTTCTCTTTCAGGTACAAGAGAAAGTAAGAACTGTTGGTAACTACCAAATGGGTAATTTGGACAATGCAGACATTTCAGACACGCTCTCTCCAGGGCCTGGATTTCTTTGTACTGCGAGGAGACAAGTTCAGTAAAATTAACAGTTTTTCTTCAAGTTCTAGAATAGCTTTGGGATGTTCATTAATACCTGGTATTAATTCATTGAAGACCCTGTGTGAAAACATCTTCAGCAGCCCATGCCATAAACCATTGATTCTGCTTTGTGGTTTGGTGTTTTTTTTCCTAAAAAGTTTGCTCTATTCTATAGGATAGCTATAGGAACTGAGAGCTGGGATATGTTACATCTTTCTACCAAACTTTTAGTTCATGTAAGTCATCTTTAGGGCAAAAACTGGAGAATGCTTATTGCTTTGTTCATATACTTCTGTGACTGCGATTAATTAATATGGCTGAAAAGGATTTCTATGGTTGAGAGCCTATTTCTGAAATAGGGAAAAAAAGGTTTTTCAGACTACCTCTCACAAAGATGGCTTCAGAGATAACAGTCAGGAATTAAAACAAATCTCCAAGAGGCTATTATTTGAAGAAAGGAAGGGGGGTAGATAGCTTCCTCCTTAACTGAAAAGAAAGCAGCTGTAAGCTGAGGCAAGAAGGGAAGGCTACAACCAGAATGCAGGCTCTTTTACATTATTGTATGCAATTAATGATAGGTTTGCTCATCCTGGCTTTTTTTTTTTTACTAGGAGCAATGCAGCTCCCACCTATAAAGATTAGGCAGGTTTACTGCAGTCTTATTAGAGCATCAGAGATCACACAGGCACCGTTGTACTTGTTCCACTGTTGAATAAAGCAAGAATTCTGATCAGTAACCCATTACTTAATTTCATCAAAATGTTAAGCTCTTTCTTTGAATTTTTACTATCTCCACCATCCCAACAATTTTTTTTTTCATCACCCTTGCTAAATTTCATTGATATGCTTTAATTCCTGTAAGGAACACAGACCAATACAGACCTAAGTGGCCCTGACCAACTGGTAAACTTCTGAACTGTAAATACAAATTGCGCTTTTTTGCTTCACACCTGCTTTTCTTTTGGGGTGACCAAAGTGCAGTAGTGAAAGGTAACGGCTGCATTCCTGAAATAGACCAGTACAACACTGACTCAAAGTATTGGGTTTTCCAACTTTATTAAAAAGGACAAACTTTACAAGCAGTAAATATAAAATATACATAGCAAAGTTTTGACAGCTGGCACTGCTCAGTGTATTCCCGTGATCAGTCTTCTCACAGTTCAAAGGTACATTATAGAGTGTCTTATGGTCTTGGTGGACGCATGCCAGGTGGAGGGGGTCCTGGAATGAAGGAAAGACTTGAATACTGAAGAGGAAAGAGGAAGCAAGGCTAAACCAGAAAGATGTTTTCACCATGCTCCAAGTGGCCTTAGGACCCCTTTTCTGGCACTGAGGCATTTATTGACAACTAGGATAGCTAGGGAGGCATTGAAACATACCACCCTTCAAACAATTTGTTTATTTAATGGCTTCTTACAGCTTCTAGGCATTTAAGATAACGTCCGCTCACCTCTCATTCCTGGGGGGGGTGGTCTCATGCCTGGTGGGGGCATTCCCATGGGAGCACCTCGGCCAGGTGGCATTCCCATTGGTGGGCCCATAGGTGGTCTCATGCCTGGAGGAGGTCCCATCATTCCTTAAGCCAGAGAAGGAACAAGTATACAAATCCAGCTGAGTATTCAAGGCACTAGTTAGATATCAGAATAATCCTCCATAATACCAGATCTTCATCAAACTCAGAAAAATACCTCTTTATCACCAATTCTGCCACATAACATGAGCTCCTTGCTGCCCACTCTATAGAGTAATTCCTACCTGGAGGAGGTGCTCCTCTACTCATGGGTGGGGGAGGACCCCCACGCCCTGGTGTGTATTGAGTTGGGGCTCCTGCTATGCTAGCAGTCCCCCTGCCACTGTTCCACGACCCTGAGGTGTCATCACCTGTAAACAAAATAAACAGTTCACAGAAAAACAGCACAACATCTGTTTCACGTTAATAATTTAAATCTTGCTTATTTTTTAGTTATTATCCCTTAAGAAAATTACATCAGTCTCCTCTTAACATGTTAAATCACGCTACAAACCTGTAATACAATTCAACGGACACCACTTGAATTCTGTGCAAGAAGCTGCACTTTTCAAGCCTCTTCTTCCATCATGTAAGACAGAGTTCCTAGGGGGATCTAGTACCAAAACCGCCTCACTAGGCTCAAACTCCCCGGTAACAGAAACAAAGATTACAGTTCTTCCGCTCCACCAACTTCTTGCATCACATTGGCACCAAGAATTAAGAGCCACCCCAGAATATACCAGACAACTCTTTTTTAATGGGTCACAGCATCTCACCTGTTGGGATGGTCCCCCTACTCCTCTGACAGGGCCAGCTAATCCTGCTGGAGCCTGTGGCATGGGTGCACCAGCTGGTACTCCCCTCCCCGCTGCTCTCCCAACTCCAGGTCCTCCAGCAGCTCCAGCAAGAGGTACCCGGGCAATTCCAGTCTGAAAACAGATTCCCCCCCCCCAAAAAGAAAGATTTATCAAAAGTCCTCAGATCCTAGGGATGCCCACAGCCCTCCTTTGTGCAGTTAATGCTGAAGGCCACAAAAGGATTAGAACTTCCTGCAGTGAAATTTGTTGGACCTAGACACAACAGCATGTGCAAGTCTAAAACAATACTGTAGTAGCATTCCCCTGCAAGGAAGCAAGTTTATCAGACGTCCCTTCCCTTTTGCCTTAGTTCTGCGCTCATTCTCCTTACATCTTTTGGAGGTGGTCCTTCGACTGTCATGGACACTAGGTTTTCTCCTCGCAGCAACACAAGACCAAGGACTCGTTTCTCCTCCCGCTCCGGCTGTTTTGAATTTTTAGGTCTAGCGAGAAGAGAAAGAAAACATTGCAAGACAGAGAAAAAAAATCAGTGCTGCTCTTTGAATACGCAATAGCGTATATGACTAGGCTGCTCCAGAGAGCAGAACCTATCATAAAAAACACGTTTTTATATGCCTCAAACTAAGTACATGGAGAAGTCTAAACACAAGATGCGTATTGCCTCCATTTTTTTTTTCCCCATGATGCTTAACTGTTACAGTGGCTACGCTGGCATCACCTAAAGGTGTATTTCGCTTATTTGGAAAGAACTGAAACAAAGAGCCCCCTGAACCGCGGCGGTTTGGGGATTTGACAAACGAGACTAAAACCCTGACTATTTCTGCAG